GAAAATAACGATTTTCCGAAAGTAACTATTTTGACTGCTATAATGATTAGCTATAAAGCTTGGAACAATGTGACTGTACAAACGATTCGTAACTGCTTTAGAACGTGTGGATTTGCAAAGAAGAAGACGAAATCTCTGCCACTTTAGCAGTTGACAATCAATGGTATAGATTATTTACTGTTCCAGTCGAACAGTTATTAACGTTTGAGGAATTTGTTGCTATCGACGATGATTTGGCTGTTTATGGTTCTCTCAATGACGATGAGATTTTAAAAAAAAACTGATGACGAGGAAGTCAATGATGAAGAAGAATTGTCCGAAGAGGAGGCTCTTCGGACAATTCTACAGTCACCTCGAAGGAAGCCAAAAAAGGTCTCCGTGCCGTTTTAAAATATTTACAAAATCACAACATAGACGATAGTATATTTATTCACATTTTAAAATTAGATAATACAATTGACCAAGTAAGCTCAAGTGGCTATACACAAAAAAAAAATAACCGATATTTAAAAAAAATAAATATGTATGTATATATGTATTATAATTTATTTAAAATAAATTTTTTTAAATCTTGTTATTACAAACTTTTGATATACCGAACTTCTTCCTCGGTCCCTTGAAATTCGCTATATCGCGAGTTGACTGTATATATACATGTATAGATAAGTAGATGATCATAAGAATGATGTCAATAATAAAATGAATATCTGAATATTTGGATAAAATTACAAATAAGTCCAGCACTCACTTCTCAATTGTCAGAGTTAACAAAAAGTGTTAAAAAATTAAGTTAAGTTGTTGTGAGTACCGTAAAAAGGCAATCGAAAAAAATAATAAAAATAAAGATGTTATTGAATCATGCCAAAAATTAGACAGTTTTTTTAAAAAAGGTAAGCAGCTTTTAAACGATTTATAAATATCTATTTACAGTTGGAAATTTAGTAAAATTACGTACTTATTTGGTAAAAAATATTCCATTATTTTAGCTTCGATGCGAATTTTGGTATAAATGGTATTAATTTTATTATGATGTGGTATTAATATTTTTTTATAAAAGTATACTTATTTTTTTAAGTCTCACTGGATCGATTGCGATGAACGATACGTCAAAATATCACGAATTGTATCTAATTGAAGACATCGCCCAAAGAAATTTGAAATAATCTCCTCGTTCTCCAAGAAAATTCCAAAAAAATTATGATTTTTAAAATCAACAAATTTTGAAAATTTTCATAATTTTTTGATAAAAATCTCCATACATTTTCGAAATTTAAGAAATCAAAATAATTTTTTTCGATGTAATAACATTAGATATTTTATTTTTGTTTTTTATATTTTTTAAATCTGGCATTTTCCCTACCAACAAGGGGGAATAAAAACAGCTACTTTTGCATAAAAAGTTGATTTCTTCAAATAAACGTTGAAATGTTTACTAAAATACTGCAACCTTAAAACATATTTTTAGTTAAAGCTTATGTTGTGAACTATAAGATCTAAAACAAAAATTTTACCCGACACCTTTTCTTCTAAGTACAAGCGACTGCAGTAGCTCAAAAACATGTTATTTTTGCGTTAAAATGTTTGATAATAATTTTATATTTTCAATTTAAATCGCTGTAATTATTTAAATAATGCATGGATCTTTTAATTGTTATAACTTTTTCATAAACATATCTATTTTTTTTTAAGTGGATAATTTCTCCTTATACAATGGAGGGTATAGAGTTAAAAATTTCGTTTAAAATGATGAAAATTTTCAACTTATCTTTTGAAAAATTTCCGAAAATATTATCAAGCTTTAAATAAACTTAAAATATTATTCTTTATACCCGTTTAAATTCAAAATTACAGCTTAGATTTCGATTTTTATTTTTTTTTGTAGAATTCTCCATTTAATATTGAAAATGTAAATACTTTAACAATATCTAAATATGAAGAATCTATTGATGATTGTATCTTACAATAATGTGGTGAAACAAAGTTTATACTTGAATATATTGACGAAAAAAAATTGTTTAAATGACAATAGCAATGATAATTCATTAGAGAGCTCAATCACTATACTAATTNAATTCATTAGAGAGCTCAGTCACTATACTAATTTCAGATCCAGCTGAATGGAACCTCGCTTCTCTTGAAATAATAAATTATTTGTTAAAAAATCCACCATTTGAAAATAGAGACCATATCGATTTTAAAAATACTAAACGATTGTTCGGCAAACAATTAAGAAAATTTCCATGTAATATATTTGAAAGACGTCTTCTTAATGATGAAATTAAAAATAGATCATGGTTTCTTTATTCAAAATCTAAGAATGCTTTGTTTTGTTTTCAATGCCTTATTTTTGCTACTAAAAAACAGGTATTTAGTGATCCATCTGTAGGATTTACTAATTGGCAAAAGTATCACCATTTGGTTGCAGAACATGAAAAAATTGTATCTCATAATACATGTATCCGTTTTTAAGAACCACTAAAAATACTTAGGTTATAGATAATGCTTTGCAAGAACAGGTATATAACGAAATTAATTATTGGAAAAATTTATTACATCGCGTAGTGTGTACAATACAATTTTTATCAGAAAGAGGGCTTGCTTTTTGCGGAGAAGATGAACATTTTGGTTCAAAACATAATAGAAATTATCTAGAATGCTTAGAGTTCATTTCTAAATGCGATCCATTCATTGCAAATCACATATCAAATCATGGAAATAAAGGCCGTGGCAATGTGTCTTACTTGTCATCTACAATATGCGATGAATTTATATCATTAATGAGCAAAACAGTTATTGATAACATTGTAATTCAAATTAAAAAATTAAAATACTTTTCAATCATTGTTGATTCGACTCCTGATAATACTAAAGTAGACCAATTGACCATTATTATAAGGTTTATGACAGATAATAGTTCTGTAGTTGAAAGATTTGTAGGATTTTTTTAATCAGTCGGTCACAAAAGTGAGAACATGGAAACTGCTTTGCTTCAACGTTTTACAGATTTAGATATCAATTTTAAAAATTGTAGGGGACTATAATATGATAACGCGACAAATATGTCAAGCATTTATAATGGATAACAGGCTTGTATTAAACGAATATCTGAACAAGCGTTGTTTGTACCGTGTGCTGCGCACTTTTTGAATTTGGTAGGGTCAAACGCTGCTTAAGCTACCAGTAAAGGGACTAGGTTTTTTTTCAATATACAGATGGTTTATAATTTTTTTTTTGGCTCAACAAGTTGTTGGGAACTTTTAGAAAGATACCTAAATAAAATTAAAGGTTCATTAAGTATCAAAAATTTATGTAAAACTAGGTGTTTATCGAGGTATATGCTTAAATATCGGGTACTAAGAAATCTTAAATGTTCTAGAAGTAATATACTCAGATAAATATCAACGAACAGCAGTATGTTACGAAGCAAAATCTATTTATAAAAACATTTGTACTTTGGAATTTTCATTTATGTTATGCATGTCGTATCTAATTTTAAAACGTTTTGAAGCTACTTCAAAAGCACTTCAGTTAGAAAATATTGATTTATGTAACGTAATTTCATTATATACTTCATTGGAGGATTATATTCAAGAAATTTGAAATTCTTTCGACATATTTTTAGAAGAAGCAAAATTTGGAAATGTTTGTGAAACATTTGTTTGGGAATCAACGAGGATAAAAATTAGACCAGTATTATTAGATGATGATAAGAACACTTCGGACGTTATTTTTACGGTAAGTGAAAAAATGAAATTTTTTTAGTGATTATTGACAAATTAATTTTTGAACTAAATAGAAGAATGGAAATTTACACTGAATTATATAATAAATTTGGATTTTTATTAAATATTGATAATGAATAACATTCGAATTGATAAATTTTTGAGATCATCTTTAAGCCAAGAGAAAATGTCAGATTTGTCAATACTATATATAGAGTCTGAAATAGTTAGAGAAATTAAGTGGGAGGAACTTGTGAATAAATTTCCTACAGTCAGATCGAGAATAAAACATATTTGTTAGACAATTTTTAATAGGGTTTCTTCTTTATATTATATTGTATTTCCTTTAATTTACTTTATAATTAGTGAGTATATGTATGATATGAATGATTACAAATAATTGACGTTTTAAACTTGTAGTAGTTATTTGCGTAATAATATTATATGAAATATATAATTTATTTTTAACTACTTCTTGATAAGAAGTATCTATCAACAGTGGCATAGCCAGAAGAGGTTTTGGATGTTGTAACCCCCCCCCTCTATTGAGGATATATACATTGCTCCAGGGCGGCTTTGACACTTAATCTGGCTCTGGACATTATTGTATTGCTTGAGAATTCAAAAATTGCTTACTACTGTTGTAAATTTTATATTGACGTTATTCAGATATTTACTGCACCATTTATTCTGACACTTCTCGGTAGTCACTGTAAATACAGACTATTTGACATGAACTGATGTAAATTTGAGCCTAAAAAAAAAAATTAAATGTAAACGTAAATATTAGAATTGTTATTGTATACCAATCTATAATATTAAAACTGTTTTAATTTAAATATTATTATTAGGTAGATAGTAATTTTTCGTGGGCATATAATAAGGAATCTAAATTACCACGCATGACAGCGGTAGCTATTGTTCTTTCATCCCAATTACATCCATTTTCAATTTGTTAAATATAAGATAAGTTAAGATTTTCAGTTATCTGTCGATGATTCAGTAATTATTCATTAGGATAGACTCTTATTAACGTTGACAGATAAAATAAAATTCATCCATAAAAATAAAAATAATCATATAAAGTATTTAAGAATTAGTTATAATTATTAAACAATAAAATTCTTTAGGAGGGCATTTTAGATATACCATCATATATTTTTAAAATTCACGTAAATTTTACATAGAATAAGTGTAATATCATAAAACATCAAAAATTTGTATACATATGAACCATTTTTGCAACAATTTATAAATATTTCTTTTGCATCGTACGTATTTTATACTACGGAATACATGTTTAAAAAATACAGGTATTTTTATTGAGAATTTTGATTTTAATTAAAAAAATATCAAATTTATTGATAATGTTTAGCTTAAGACGGTTTATTTAAAATATAATGTAATTGACTGTTAAAAATAAACAATATTTTATAAAAATAATTATATTTTAAAACTAATTAGGACATCCATTTTCGTAAGCATAGTTAATTATATCAAAAAAACCTCTTCTAACAGCTTCATAAATAGTATTTCTACTCCATGGACAATTATGCTCATGTGCGTACTTTAAACAATGAAACTGACGATTTGCAGCAGCAAGTCTTGTAGTGCCTTCATCCCATTTACAACCATTTTCGTGGGCATACATTAAGCAATTTAAATTACCACGCATGGCAGCGGTAGCGATTGTTCCTTCATCCCAATTACATCCATTTTCATGAGCAAATTTCAGACAACTAATGCAACCACTCGCAGCAGCTTCTCTTGTTGTGCCTTCGTCCCATTCACAACCATTTTCATAAGCATATTTGAGGCATCCTACATTTCGATTCGCAGCAGCCCCTCTCATTGTACCTTCAATCCATTTATATCCATGTTCATAAGCATATTTTAAACAGTCTAAATTACCATGCACGGCAGCTGTAACTAATGTTCTTTCATCCCATGGACAATCCTTTTCATGAGCATACTTTAAACAGTCTAAACAACCACTAGCTGCTGAAGCTCTAGTTGTGTCATAATCCCATGAACATCCATATTCATGTGCATATTTTAAACAATCAAAATTCCTTGTAAAAGCAGCAGCTTTAGTTGTTCCAATGGCCCATTTACATCCGGTTTCATGAGCATACATTAAGAATTCTAAATTACCATAAGTGGCAGTGACACTTGTTGTTTTTTCATCCCATGGACATCCATTTTCATGAAGATATTTTAAAATGTCTAGGCTACTTCTTTTTATAGCAGCACTAAGTATACCGTCATCAAATGGACAACCATTTTCATGTGCATATTTTAAAATTTCTAAATTACCTTTTTCAGTAGCCGCAATAGTTATACCGTTATCCCATGGACATCCATTCTCGTGTGCATATTTTAATATTTCCAAATTACCTTTTTCAGTAGCCGCAATAGTTATACCGTTATCCCATGGACATCCATTCTCATGTGCATATTTTAATATTTCTAAATTACCTCTCTTAGTAGCCGTTATAGTTATACTATCCATCCATGGCAATCCATTTTCGTGTGCATATACTAAACATTTTAGATGACCGTTAGCTGCAGATGCCCTTATTATATTTTCATCCCATGGACATCCATTTTCATGAGCATATTTTAAAATTTCTAAATCTCCATTCGATGCTGCTATTACTGTTATTGTGTTATCCCACTCGCATTTATTTATATGTGCGTACTTTAAGCATTCTAAATGGCCATTCTCAGCAGCAACTCTAGTTACACTATTGTCCCATTGACATCCATTTTCGTGTGCATATGATAAACAGTTTAAATGACCACCTGCAGCAGCAACTTTAGTTGTTCCTATATCCCAGTCACATCCATTTTCATGAGCATATTTTAAACAATTTAAATAACCTCTTAATGATGCTGCTCTTGTTGTGCCATCATCCCATTTACATCCATTTTCGTGAGCATATATTAAGCAATCTAAATTACCATACATGACTGATGCAACTATTGTACCTTCATCCCAATCACATCCATTTTCATGAGCATATATTAAACAGTCTAAACAACCACTTTCTGCAGCTGCTCTAGTTGTGCCCTTATACCATTCGCAGCCGTTTTTATGAGCATATTTTAAAAATTCTAAATTACCATAACTTGCAGCTACTTTTGTTGTTCTTTCATGCCACGAAAATCCATTCTCATGTAAATATTTTAAAATATCAAAATAGCCCTTATTTATAGCCACANAAATTACCTTTTTCAGTAGCCGCAATAGTTATACCATTATCCCATGGACATCCATTCTCGTGTGCATATTTTAATATTTCTAAATTACCTCTCTTAGTAGCCGTTATAGTTATACCATCCATCCATGGCAATCCATTTTCGTGTGCATATACTAAACATTTTAGATGACCGTTAGCTGCAGATGCCCTTATTATATTTTCATCCCATGGACATCCATTTTCATGAGCATATTTTAAAATTTCTAAATCTCCATTCGATGCTGCTATTACTGTTATTGTGTTATCCCACTCGCATTTATTTATATGTGCGTACTTTAAGCATTCTAAATGGCCATTCTCAGCAGCAACTCTAGTTACACTATTGTCCCATTGACATCCATTTTCATGTGCATATGATAAACAGTTTAAATGACCACCTGCAGCAGCAACTTTAGTTGTTCCTATATCCCAGTCACATCCATTTTCATGAGCATATTTTAAACAATTTAAATAACCTCTTAATGATGCTGCTCTTGTTGTGCCATCATCCCATTTACATCCATTTTCGTGAGCATATATTAAGCAATCTAAATTACCATACATGACTGATGCAACTATTGTACCTTCATCCCAATCACATCCATTTTCATGTGCATATATTAAACAGTCTAAACAACCACTTTCTGCAGCTGCTCTAGTTGTGCCCTTATACCATTCGCAGCCGTTTTTATGAGCATATTTTAAAAATTCTAAATTACCATAACTTGCAGCTACTTTTGTTGTTCTTTCATGCCACGAAAATCCATTCTCATGTAAATATTTTAAAATATCAAAATAGCCCTTATTTATAGCCACAGAAGATAATTTATCATCTAATGAACATCCATTTTCACGTGCATATTTTAAAATTTCTAAATTACCTCTTTCTGTAGCCTCAAAAGTTATACCATTATCCCATTGACATCCATTTTCGTAAGCGTATTTCAAAATTATCAAATTATTTCTTTTGACAGCGGCGAATAGTGTACCTNTATGAATATATATTAAGTTTTCTAAATTACCATATTTTGCAGCTGCTTCGGTTGTGCCTACATCCCATGGACATCCATTTTCGTGGGCATATTTTAAACATTTTAAATGACCGTTTTCAGCAGCTTCAATAGTCGTATATTCATCCCATTCACAACCGCTCTCGTNCATATTTTAAACATTCATAATGTCCATTCAAAGCAGCATTACTTGTTGTTTGTTCATTCCATGTACAGCCATTTTCATGTGAATATTTTAAGCATTCTAAATGTCCAAATGTTGCAGCTTCTATTGTTGTATTTACATCCCATGGACATCTATTTTCATGTGCATATGTCAAGCATTCTAAATGCCCATTTGATGCAGCTGCACTTGTCGTGCTTACATCCCATGGACATCCATTATCATGTGCATATTTTAAACATTCGAAATGTCCATTTGCAGCAGCTTCTCTAGTTGTGTCTTTGTCCCAGCTACAGCCATTTTCATATGCATATTTTAAACATTCTAAATGCCCATTTGCAGCAGCAGCGCTTGTTGTTTTTTTATCCCATTTACAACCATTTTTATGAATATATTTTAAATTTTCTAAATTACCATAACTAGCAGCTGCTATCATTGTGCTTACATCCCATGGACATCCATTATCATGTGCATATTTTAAACATTCGAAATGTCCATTTGCAGCAGCTTCTCTAGTTGTGTCTTTGTCCCAGCTACAGCCATTTTCATATGCATATTTTAAACATTCTAAATGCCCATTTGCAGCAGCAGCGCTTGTTGTGTTTTTATCCCATTTACAACCATTTTTATGAATATATTTTAAATTTTCTAAATTACCATAACTAGCAGCTGCTATCATTGTGCTTACATCCCATGGGCATCCATTGTCATGTGCATATTTTAAACATTCGAAATGTCCATTTGCAGCAGCTTCTCTAGTTGTGTCTTTGTCCCAGCTACAGCCATTTTCATATGCATATTTTAAACATTCTAAATGCCCATTTGCAGCAGCAGCGCTTGTTGTTCTTCTGTCCCATTTACAGCCATTTTTATGAACATATTTTAAACAATCTAAATTACCATATTTTGCTGCAGCTTCGATTGTCCCTACATCCCATGGACATCCATTTTCGTGAGCATATTTTAAAATTATTAAACTGTTTATTTTGACAGCGGCAAATATTGTACCTGCATCCCAGGGATACCCATTTTTATGTACATATATTAAACAATCTAAATTACCACCTATAACAGCAGCTCTAGTTATTCCTCTCTTAAAGGGGCACCCATTTTCATGTGCATATTTTAGACATTCAAAATGTCCATTAGTAGCAGCAGTACTTGCTGTCGTTTTATCCCATGTACAGCCATTTTTATGAATATATATTAAGTTTTCTAAATTACCATATTTTGCAGCTGCTTCGGTTGTGCCTACATCCCATGGACATCCATTTTTGTGGGCATATTTTAAGCATTTTAAATGACCGTTTTCAGCAGCTTCAATAGTCGTATATTCATCCCATTCACAACCGCTCTCATAAGCTAGTTTTAATGTTTCTATATCACCAATTTTAGCAGCTTTTCTTGTCGTACCTTTTTGAAATTGGCATAAATTTTTCTCACGCGAATATTTATTTTCAATACCTAAATTAGCAAAATAATTAATTTTTTTTTATTGTGTTCATATAATAATTAAATTACTTTAAATATTTCGATTAAATATGCTGTTATTAAATAAAAAGTAAAAATATTTAATAATTAAAACTTTTTTTTTAACTTTTAATAAAAAAATACTATTTAATCTTGAGTTGTCCTAATTAAATAATTTACTATATTAGAATTATTTTGTATGACATAGCGTATTTTTGTATATTGAAAAATAATATTATTCGAACATTTATTGTTAAATTATGAGCACTTTTATAATAATATTACACAAACTATAATTATATATAATAAAAATATCAGGTTAAAACAGAAAATAATGTTTAAACGGAATATTCGGTACTACTATGCGGATTAATTGCAAAATGGAAGTGCTACACAAAATTGACCATCTTTTTCTCGTGTGGTTGTTTTTGAAAATTATTCGTCACTTCGTTGTTCTTTAGTTATTGACACAATTTATGTTGCAGCTTTCTCTATAGCCCAAAAGGATGGATTAGATTATCCAGTTTTACTGATCTAATAATAAATCTACAGGTGATTTGAGTTTTTCGTGTAACTCACCACATATTGCCCAGCCAGTAAATGTGTATTAATCGCTGAAGTTAAACCTTTGTGGTTTACAATACCGCCTCGAGGTCGCATTACGTATGGTGATAAATCTACACCTATTAAAACGTCTATCAGCGAAGGTATATCTAACGCGGGATCCACTAACAATGAATGTTTATAGGTCTCGTGAACGACGGACGGTAGTGGTGAAGTAGGCATTATCGTTCTTATCTGCTGTAATATTACGAAATCGTTGCCACAAAAAGTTGGCTCCGATAATTGGTGCAGTACGAAAAAACAATTGAATTCTCCACCGACTTCATTTACCGGGTTTTTTTCAAGACCAATAATACTGCATAAACACTTGACCAAGCCTAAATGCACAACGCGTTGTCATTGCAGACACCTGCGAACCACTATCTAGTAAAACACAAATTGTTTGGTAATCACCTCGAATATTATGCGCACGAATAACTGCAGTATCTAAAATGACAGTAGTATTTAACCGCGATAAACCGCAAAATTCTTGAACTTTAGATTTTAAGACTCCGGAAGTTTCACTATTTAAGCTATTTGAGTTATCTGGTACTGAGTTTTGAGCATTCAGGATGTTAGAATGAAGTAAGGTATGGTGACGTTTCTGGCATTTTGAGTATTATAACTTAGATTTGCATTCAGCACGCGATGCATATTACTCAAACACAAAAACATAACTTCTCTTTGACAACGGCTTCACGCCGTTTTTCAATAGTATACGACCGATAAATATTACAACGATACGCTGTATGAGAGTTTGAACAAAATGGGCATTTTTATCATTTTTTGATGATTCTGTAGTTCCGGTTAATACAATTTTTTATTGTGTATACAATTTGTTACTTAAGTTATTTTTGTTTGCGCGTTCTTTCTTATCGCTATTGTAGCTTTTAATACTTTTTAAAATTCGATAACGATGCCGAACAAAGGAAATCTGATCGTCTATATTTGGAATAGTACACTACGATACCGTGGCCTAGAATAAACGACGCGTGTCTACGTTTAATATCTTAGCACCCATATAAAATAGTAAAAACCCAGATATATCTTCCACACCGAGATTTTTAATGGCTGTTACAATATCATTGAAAACATCAATAAAAGCTGATAGTGATTCTGTAATTATTGATTTGAATGGAAACAACCTATCCAAATATATTGATGCTAATAGTCGTTGATTTTTATACTACTCCATGTGTCATTATAGTTGGCGGTAGAGAGTGGATAAGATTTTATTGTGATTAACGACGGACCAGATAAACATAATAATAATTAATGAAATTGGTCGATTTTATTAATATTTCTGGCGAAAACAAAAAAATCAAATGTTTCATAGAACAAACGCCATTTTTCAGGATTACCATCAAATTTAGGCAAATCAAAATTCGGTGAATAGGTGTTATATTGTGGTTGAGGCATTAAAAAAATGGGCATTCTATTTGTGAAAGTAGCTGACGATAATACTGAATTTATTTTAAAAATAAGCATCTCTATTACATCGGTAACTGAAGAAACAATACACTCGAATTCCTCAACTATGTCTTGATCAACTGAAGCTTCAATCACAGTGTGTTGATTTTCACTAAATTGCCTAATATAGGAGTTTAGTTGAAGTTAGCGAATTTTCAACTCAGAATTACTGATGAGTCTCTCTTAACCATTTCTGCGATCGCATAAATTTCTTTGTCTTCAGCGCACAATCACATAATAAACAGGCAATAATAAGCGCCTTGTTTTTTGGCGGGTTCGGTTTTCACACTTTTTCTTGGCATGATTACTTTACCAATATTCGTCCCGAACGACCAAATGTTTGAACAGAACGCCAGGTACTACTGTGTGGGTTAGTTACGTTCGTTTTTGTTGCCTCTAATCACGCAGGAAAATGAAGTAGATAGTAGATTGTATAAAATAAATGTAGGAATAAATAACAATTACCCGTGTTAAAAGTATAAATCAAAATATTATAAAGATCAATGTGGGTAGGGGGACCCCTACCGTATGTTTCTATTGACCTGCTCTCTATCTTTCCTTTCTAGTCTATTTACCCACAACTGTCTTTAACTTTAATTTTGCTAATTATCTCAATCCTATTCTCCTTCTCTTAATATCCTAACCCATTTATTTTATGATCTCCCTAATAATGCCTATTTTTTTAATAGTTGATGTCTTTAATGGTCTATCTAAACTTAATAACAAATCTATTGGGCCAGACGGTATTTCTGGTAACTTTTTATTCAACCTACGACATTCGATATCCTTTCCACTCTGGATGCTTTTCCAAAAATATCTTGATAAAGGATTTTTTCCATCTATTTTTAAAATTTCCTCTATAACTCTCCTTTTTAAATCCGGTGATCATACTCAAGTTGTTAATTATCGCTTTATTTCTAATCTTTATCATTTATAAATACTTTTTGAGCCCCTTGTCTTTCAATCAATTAAATACAGCACGCATAACATTCTTATCGACGAACAACATGGTTTCCGTGATGGGCGATCTACATTAACATGTAATCTTGTATTTCAATCTTTCATTACTGACTCTATGATGCTTGATAGAGTGCAGCGTAAATTTTTGCGCTTTGCTACTCTTATCCTTAATAACCCCCATCCTCCTCATGACTCATGACTCCTATTCAAAATTTCTTACAACTTCCTTCCTTATGTTCCAGAAGATATGATTTCAATATCCGTTTCATTTCTATACTCTTAGCTGGCCTGATTGATTCTTCTGTCCTACTTTCTATATTGAACTCTCGTTCAACTCGTTATACTGCCCTTTTTCTCATTCCTCTTTCATCATCTAATTATACATTTCATTCCGCTCTCCCGCGTCTTATGCTCATTCCAAATAACGATCCTGATTTTTCACATTCTTTTCATTTTTAATTTAGTCATTTAGCTTTCATATTTAATATTTAAATTTATGATAATGTTTATATCTTTATTTATCTTTTTTAAAATATATTTTATTTTAGTTTTTCTTTACTAAGTTTAATTTTATTTAATAATGTTCAAATTTTTAGTTATATGATAATTTTAAGTTGATCAGTTAACTGTCAAATACATATTATATTTTTTGGGCTATTGCCTGTATAGTTTATAGTAAAGAAATAAATAAATAAAATCTAAATTTAATATAATGTGATAATGATAAAGAGCTGAATGAAAAAAAAAACTTGATAAATATTTAAATTATAGAAAATAATAGGCAAAAACCCATTTTTAATTGAAATGTTATCAATAAGAAATATATTATTTTAATAATGACTTTTCAAAATTTGGCTAAGGTTTTATATTACAACGTGATAAAATAAAATCTTTACATCTATGATTACATTTTTATGATATATATATAAATTTAATATTATTGCTTTACTTAAGGGCGCGCAAACGTAATATTTGGTCATGTAATCAGAAAACTGTACTATTGCTGTCATGGTGAACGCTATATAAACAATATTCTTTATCAATTTAATAATCGTTTTCTATATGACATAGACACTGGCCACCACTGTATATACCTGTATAATTTTAAAAACGGTAGCACAGTGTGGTCGAGGTACAGTGTGGACGAGGCATAGATGGGAAAGTATATGGGATAGTAGATGATATTTGACAGTGATTAAAATCACTATCATAAGAAACGCTTCGATGCAAATCTGTAGATAGTGTTTCCTTTAGAGAAATTGGTGAAATATTTTAAAAGCAACATGAACTCTTATTTCTTTAATTATATCCTGATTAGTAGTTCTTTGATTTTAAAATATAATATATGAATAAATACTAATTATAGTTTTTAAATTTAGTATGAAATTGTGAGGCCAGCTATGATGTATGGTTAATAGTGTTGGGCGGTTGATAAGAAAGTAGAGCAGAGAATAAGTGTAGCAGAGATGAGAATGCTTAGTTGGATGAGTGGAGTGACTAGAGAAGATAGGATAAGGAACGAGCATATAAGAGGAAGTATAGGTGTTGCGTCAATCGTGGATAAGATGACAGAAAATAGACTTAGATTGTTTAGTCATGGTATGAGGAAAGAAGAATCGAAAGCTGTAAGAACAGTTATAGAAATGAATGTTGAAGGAAGAAGAGATAGAGGAAGACCAAAAAAGAGATGGAGGGATGCTATTGAATGCGATTTGAGGACAGCTGATGTGAGCGTAGAAGATGTGGGAGATCGTGTCAAGTGGAATCTTAGGATAAGGGTGCCCGACCCCAAGTAGTTGGGATTAAGGCAAAGAAAAAGAAAAATATTACCAGATATTCCGGTGGCAATTGACATAATATGATTGTTATTTCGGAATGTACAATTTAGCGTTTAGTTGGGTTTAAATAATATAGCGTCAAATCAATTACCTACTCTATCGGTTGTATCTCAATATACACTACACTTTAATGATACAATAAATAAATAAACTCACACATACACACATATGCATTTATAACATTGTGTCTAATGTAAGTATAACATGATAAAAAGTAACCGTAAAATGAAAAAAATGGAATATAAATTTTATTACTCATATTAAATGTAATGTAACTCGAAAAATATTTGTTTAAATGAAAAAATATAAGATTATATTTTTATTTATAATTGTCTTTTAAACAACTTTTGTGCGAAACTTTTTTTTGTAAGTTAAATATTTTTTTTTGAGAAAATTAAGAAAGCTCATATTTTTGAACTTTTGCGAGGATTTAAAAAAAAAGCTCAATTCCAATCTTGAGGACTATTAGTATGTCATTATACATATTTTAATTCAACTTTTAAAAAAACAAAATTTTTTCCGCAATTTTTCCTTTGTTGACTGGCCTAGATGTCAATTTTAAACTTGTAATTGAGCTAAAAGTTATGGTAATATATTCAATTTTTTTTACTATAAACTTTCATAAATCTTTATCAAAAATTTTTCATCAACTTTAAAGAACCAAAAAAATAGGTTAAAAATGAAAATTTGGACTGATTATTTTTAACATATTAACAATCAAATCAGTAATAATTTGAAAACAATTTTTTTTTTCTTTTAATTATTATTTTATATGTAATTAGTAATAATATAAAAATTAGAAGTGATAGAAAAAGTCTAATTGCAGATTTGAAAACAACGCGAAAAGTTGATTTAGAAAAGTATATTTTTGTTTCTGATGAAAGTTCCTTGTAGTCCTGTGCATTTTTTTATAGTAACAAACAGTTTTTATTGAAAATTATTGTATCAAGCCCTTTAAATTTTTATACACGTAAAAGTAAAGCAAAATATAACTTCTTTATTATTTTTATAATTTTTCCGTTTAAATTACAATATTTAATTATTAAATATCAATTTCATACTAAATTTAAAACTATAATTAGTATTTATTCATATATTATATTTTAAAACCAAAGAACTACTAATCAGGATATAATTAAAGAAATAAGAGTTGATGTTGCTTTTGGAATAATCCACCAATTACCTACTTTAAAAAAAAAAAAAATTGGTTGTGAATATTTTCTGTTATTCGACAAAATTACTTCTTCGTTGACTAGAATAAATCATTATATAGAAAATTTGATGAGAATTAAAACAATGTTATTTTTAATATTAATATGCAGTCAGAAAATTTTATAATTACTATTTACACTGTAAAGACATGCATCTAAATAAAAAAAAATTATACTGATTTGGTCATTTTTGATAAAGTTATAAGTTTTATACACTGGACAACAAGGAACTTCAATCAGACACAAAAATATTCTATTCTAAATCAACTTTTCACGATGTTTTCAAATGTGCAATTAGACTTTTTCTATCACTTCTAAGTTTTAATATTATTGAAAAATAGTATTTACATATAAAAAAAGCTAAAATAATTAAGAACAAAAAAAATTGTTTTAAATTAATGCTGATTTTGATTATTAATATGTTAACAAAAGGAAAATGAAATATTTAACCTATTTTTTTAATCGATTAAAGTAGATTGTTGTAAATGTTTATAATAAAAAAAAATAATTTATTTTACCATAACTTTTAGCTCAATTGGCAAGTTTGACATTGACATCATAAAATAGAAAATTTTATGACAATTAAAAAAATTGTATCGTTAAGATCAAAATGCAGTCAGAAAGTTTTATAATTACTATTTATTGTAAATTTATCAGAAAAGGTCAATATTTTTTTGCATGTTTATGGTATTAGATAACTTAAATAGAAGTAATAGTAATAATTTCCTAGTAACTTTTGTTGTTTGAAAAGATTCTACAATTGAAATATTCA